TTTTTTTTTTTTTTTTTTACATTTCCAACACACTGATACTCCAAACGCTTTGACCTTGGCTCTGCAAAATTGTAGTAATAAGTTTTTCCACTTTTATTTAACAACATTCTGAATAAGAGCAGCAAATATTTGAATAGGGGGTGTGGGGATTTGGTAGATTTTTATAAGGAAAATCTATATTATTTCTAAAGTCATATCATTGAAATTATAATAACTTAAAACAGATTTTTAAAAGGTATCTTTGAAGCACATATTTTTTAAAGTTTAGATTTCTAGCAAATTTATAGAGTGCTGTTAGCATCCCATAGCTGAAATCACATAATTGTTATATCCTATGCTTTCTGCTTTTCGCTATGTTACTGTTGGAATATCTTCTGATAACATCTGTGAGAGAGGAATGGATGTTGTAGTAAAACGGAGTCTTCTCGGTCTGATTGATATTGTGCTTTACAATCCATTTCAGTTATCAGAAAGTATTCAAATTTTTTCCTCCTGCTATTTGGGAAGAATGTAACGGTCTAAAAGATTGCCTACCTTCTGAGGGAGTTTCTCTCTTGTCAGGATAGAAACAGTATATTTACTAAACTGCCTTTAAATTTGGAGTAAATATTGTAATCCATTTCTTTCTCCGTTTGCTGGCCTCTCACTATAGGAAGTGCCCAAACATGACAGTTGGCAGTATAATCTAGCAGATCTGTAGACCATGGCTGGGATATTTTAAAATTAGGAGATTCCAGAATGAAATTAAGACCATTTTTCGGTGGTTAGAACTCACCAGTATTTTACTTTAGTATGAATTTGTATAGTGATGATTCTTGTATTGCCCAATGACCTTTCTTAGCCATTTCTATAAAGCTAACAGAACAAACAAATGTATTTTTAACACTATACTGTAGGCAAATACTCCTTCCCTATGAAATGGGGAAGATGTAAGATGCTAAGATACACATTTGTATTCACTATTTGGAGAAAAATTATCCACCAAAATTTTCTAGAAGAGGGTTTAAAGTAAATACATTTCTTAGACCAATAAATATGGTCAGTGATCTGCAGTGATTTGACATAATGAAATAAATGAATATAATTAACTATGATGGCAAAGTAAATTGAACCACTATAGCTATTTAGAGGATACTAGCCATTTTAGCTGGACACCATTTGCTTTTGTACATTTATGGATTGTACAGAACTAGCTTTGAAAGGTAAGATGTATAATTTGTATAATTTGTATAATTGTGTAGTTAGAGGGACTGTAGATCCAATGAACTCATTTTAATTTAGAATACCATGTGCTACTTGATAAAATGGCTTTTCTGGCACCTAGATATCCCTTTAGGCATGCCTTGGAGACCCTGTAGTGTAAATAAAATTGTGTTGATTTGCTCAGGTCTATGGGATTTGGACTTGGTTCTGGAGTGAACATTATATTTAAATACATAGGTAAAAGGCAGAGTGAAAACATTTAGAATGCTCACAGATTGGTGTGGAAAGAAAAGTCTACGGAATCTGTGGGAACTTCTTCAGGACTCCAGGTTGGATAAGATAGTTTTGGGGGCAACATATGGTAATGGGGAATATTTTTTTTTTTAAGAAAGAATAGTTATTGATGACTAACTAGACATAGGAAATAAGAGTCTTAGCACCTTGAGTCTGAATGCTTACAAGGCTGATTTTAATATATAAAAAGGAAGTCAGGAAGATGCTGAGAAAAGCAGAAGAGAATAGTAGACCAAAAGAGATCCAGCTTGATGTTAGGCATTGAAAAATAATTAGATCTCCAGGTAAGAAAATTTTGCTTCCTCAACAGTTCTCATAGTGAAATCTGAGGTTCATAAGATCTTTTCGGAATGTATGGGAGATCAAAACAATTTTCATAATACTATCAAGACGTGATTTTTCGGGGCGCGTGGGTGGCTCAGTCGTTAAGCGTCTGCCTTCGGCTCAGGTCATGATCTCAGGGTCCTGGGGTCGAGCCCCGCATTGGGCTCCCTGCTCTGTGGGAAGTCTGCTTCTCCCTCTCCCACTCCCCTTGCTTGTGTTCCCTCTCTCGCAGTGTCTCTTTCTGTCAAATAAATAAATAAAATCTTTAAAAAAAGACATGATTTTTCTTTTTCTCTGCATTGGCGTTTCTTTTGGTAGTGCAAACACAATGGTGAGCAAAACTGTTGGAGCTTTAGCAAATTCAGTTAGTGGCACCAACTTGTACTCATAGTCATTGTATTCTTCATATCTACAGACTTGCAGGAAAAAAAGTCCAGTTTCATTTAAAAATGTCCTGATGAAGCAGTAAAAATTATTAATCTTATTATACATCAGCCCCGAATTATATACATATTTTTCACATTCTGTGTGTTGACATAATGCATAAAGCACATTTTCTGCATACTAAATTATAATGGCCCTCTTGACGAAAGACACCTGTGTGATCATTTCAACTGCAAGCTCAACTATCCACTCTTTTTCTTTTTTTTTTTTTAAAGATTTTATTTATTTATTTGAGAGAGAGAGAATGAGAGAGAGCAAGCACATGAAAGGGGGGAGGGTCAGAGGGAGAAGCAGACTCCCCGCCGAGCAGGGAGCCCGATGCGGGAC